ATAAAGTGAAAGATTATTCTCTGTCTGGCGCTTATCGGTAAGTCTACTTAACAAAAGTGGAACGGTCGAGTGTAGTCTTGAATAGGGCTTTTTTTTTACAGTAACCGACATTTCGACATTCAGTGCGGCGTCACAGGTGCATCACGTCAGTTGATCTTATTGGAACCATGATGAAAACCCTTCTTATTCATTCAAAATATTCCTGTTTCGGATTGGAATAAATCCCTTGGCTTATTGTTTAAAACCAGCTAGCGTTGACCAAGTTTGGAAGATGTTTGGCGGCCTTAATACAATCCACGCTAATTGACCACTCCAGAAAACACCATAACATACCATAATACTGTTTGTTGGTCACTCCAAAATTTTGCTTAAGCATTGTTTTCAGTTTCTCTTGGAGCCATTTTAACTCCCAAGAGAAACGGCAGATAATGCTTATGCAAAATTTTGGAGTGACCAACAAACAGTATTACTGTACGTTATGGTGTTTTCTGGAGTGGTCAATTGTACTGAAGTGACGTCAACAGAAATAGGGCAGCAGAAGGCGCGGTAGGTCAGCTGTTTTTACCAGGGCTGGAGAAGATTTCACTCGTTCGCAAAAATACCACTCAACAGTTAACAATTGCTATTTAAAGAATTTCTGCTAGACTAAACGTCCCTTCATATCCTGAGATTCCCGAGGAATAGACCAATGATATGAATACGGGATCTTTACGTAGATCGAGGTAAGCACGCTTTATTAAGTTGGAAATATGTTGAATGAATAATAACTGCAACAATTATTAAATTCGGCCTTTGAATGATACATGTAGAGAATTAGGCAGATCTTGGAGGGTGTTATCCGCCTCCTCGGTCTGCATAATTATTCATATTATAACTCAGCCACATCTAATAATTGCTCTATATGAGCACGCATTTTCCCCACATTGTTCTCCATACATTTCCATTGGTGTAGTGAGGAGAATTTGTTTTACAATCAAAAACTCATTTTCCTCGATTTTTCTTACAACCTTCATGTTTGATTATATTCGATAACACCAACCCTTACCGGGGTGAAACCCTTGAAGAAGTCGCCCTTCTTTTTGAATTCAAGTCATTCTGAGGGAAAGTCAACTAAATGCGATTTTCGTTTCTGCTTTAGCCGAATTTTTTGCCACAGTTGAAAGGTGGATTTTTCCAAAATCGTCATTCAGTTGCTAATAACAGTTGTAATGCAAAACATATTTATTGTGTATTCCCAATCATACTATTTTTAAAGAATGATTCACAACTCAATTTGGTATAGTTTTCACAGGTCTGCATCGGCTTTTACAAATTTCTTTTCTTATATTTTTATTTTTTTTGTTTCACTAAGGAATCAAGTCAATCGCATTTCAGTAACATAGGATGAATTAGGCATGTCCTTTCAGTCAGCCTTCCCGCACGATGCTCACTTCAATGTACTTGATGCCGACTTTTTCGTTGCTGGCATCAGCGTATATTTCCAGAAATAGGCCTTTTTGAGGATTCAGCTTGTGTTGAAAAATCATCTCACTGCTGAAGCCGCCATCGTGGGAAGTAAAACAGGTTCCCCACCGGTCAGATAGGCTTAGCTTGGTCTCGACCCTTCCCGGGTAGTAAGACTCGGCAGGCTTCGGCAAAGGCGAGCCATTACGACGATCACTACCCATTGTGTTGCCGCTGCTTCCTTCGACTGGATCACAAGGAGACGCATTTTTGTAATTGTTTTTGTCGCGAATATGAACACCAACAAAAAACTGACCGTCGGAAATCACGTACGAGGGATCGCTTTCTCCCTGACCGATATCAATGTCAGTCCCGATGATCATCTTTATAACAAGGTTTGCATCGGCATTTAGCGTTTCTGCTGGAATAAGTGGTACTTGCATGAGGCGAGCGAAATTCACTGGTGCGCTCAGGAAGGTCAGTTTAGTGGCAGTCACGGTATGTTGATGGTAGATAAAGCTTGCTGCATTCACTAACTTCATGGGTGTAAACAGCTGGTAGTAAGGAATTTTTTCCTGGAACAAAAAGTACAAGTTTTAGTGCAAATTGTAATTACAATGTATTATAAGTATGCGCGGCAACCTTGTGACGATACACTGTAAGCGTTGTTGACTTAAGGGTGTTAGGCTTCATTAACTGCGTTGAACAATTCTGTCGTTAAAACTCGTATTAAAACTGTCCTTCTCGCATCGGACATTTTGCGTCGGCAAGTTTCAGCTGGATTAACCAAGCTTGACGGCGAAATGATTGCTTGTTTGTGGTGCCCTTATGTTGGGGGTACCCCCTTATATAGGCTATATAGGTATGTGCGGCGCCAAAGGGTATGTTTTTTTAGCTGTTTTGGTCTGAAATAGGGTATTAATTTCGACCATTTTGGTTTGAAATAGGGTATGGTTTGTACATGCTTGTCTTGAATTGGGTATGTTTTTTAGATGAGGCTACTTCTTCATCATTAGGCGATAAGACCATTTCCCTTGTAATGTTTACGTCAACCGTTTACGTGCCGTGACGTTTTGTCACGCGCTCCGGTCACGCGTCAGGTCTGAAATAGGGTAGGATAAATAACAGATTTCGGTCGGAAATAGGGTAAGGGTTTCAGAAAGCGTGCTGCACACCCCCACCGAATTTTTCTGGGGGTACCCTTCTTCCCCCCGCCCCCCCTTGGGATTCAGTTAATGTGTAAGCGTGTGTCTGGGAAATTGGATACATTTTACGTGTTGCGTGGGCTTTTTCAGTGTGATGATGTAAAGGTCTTGGCCTTTGATTGTAAGTTGCGAAATATGCAGTTTGACATGCAGAGAAACGGGTATTTCTAGTCCCCACTAACTTTATAAACAAAAACTGAAAGGCTGTTTTCGGGAGTTTTAAATTTCGCGATTTTGTGAGAAATATTGTAGTGAACTATAGAAATATTTACCGTTTAATGTAACATGTTTCTAACTCATTGTTGGGTCGGGTGTGTATACTGAAAAGTGCGACGAAGAAAGGTAATTTTCTTACCTAAAACTAAACCCATTAAGTCTGCAACTAATAGCAACTATGATAGTTTCATTGTTTTACGTAATATCTTGATAATTTTCGCGAGAGTTGATAACTTAACTACATGTAGATAAGAGCCTTCTGAAGAACTATCCTTCGAGGATTATGTACAGTAGCCCATAAAGGAATTCCATGCTATAATGTTGTGGTAGCATATACATTTATCCAGGTTGTGAAATATAGAGTTAGAATTTTCTTACCTTGGTCTCAGCTGAAGACTGCTGCACTGAGAACAGTGCAGCTAAGAAGAGCAACACTAGCATTATATGAGACAGATTTTAGGGAACGAATCGTTCTGGAATGCGGTAGAGCAGAAATAAAGGGGCAAATTAAACATGGAATATACTTATAATGACGACAGTGACAACTTCTTGACTTTTGATTGGATAACTTTTACATGATTGACGGCTGAGTGAAATCTCGTTCCCTCCCAGAGGGCGTTTAGTGGGCTAGAGTATCGTGGCCCATGGGAACGCGTTTGGGCTCTATGAAGTGACTTCAGGTCAACTGATTTTAGATCACGTACGAGCATCATCTTTACTCTTGTATCACGTTATTTATGATATTCGTTTACCAAATCGTCATTGTGAAGAGCGTAGAAGTCCGTTTTTTTTTTACCATTTCCACCGTTCTCGTGATTAGGGAAACCGTAAACGAAAGCGCCGCTTGGCGTTTGGACTCTTAACAGTGTCCTATTTTCCTGTAAAACCGTCGAAACCGAGCGCTTACATAATGGGTGGTCATCTTGGTTTTAAATTTACCAAGGGGGCACTTACTACGAAGCCCAGTTAGTGCCACATAATTTTTCTCATCAAGTTTCTTTTTCACAATGCTAGTATTTCCGATGGAGATTAAATAGTCCGATAGAAACGAGAAAAATCTATGCTGTTAAAACTTAACAATTAAACTTAGTGATCAGATGGCTAGCTGACGATTTGACCGCCAATATCCACGTGTCGTTACCCATAGCACTCTCTCATGACTTCGTGCGCGCCATCAGTGGTGTTTCGTCTCGTTTCATTATTCCTACTTCTTAAATGAGCGTTTTTCATTTTCTTTGCAGAAAACTGATCGTCAAACCAAGCCTTATGAGCTGGCGTTGGCTTCGTTACAATGACGTGAAACAACCGCTGGCTCTGACAGATATGGACAGACTCAACGGTACCCAGGAACCACAGACAGTTGCAGACGGAAAGTACTGGGCACTTCAGATGGAGTTTACATTGCCCACATCGACGTATGCCACTATGGCCTTACGTGAAGTTCTTAGATGTGAAACATCGTCAGGTTACCAAGCCTCTCTCAACCAAGAGTAAGGCCTGGTCACCGATGTAGTTGTTGCTGTTTTGAAATTTCTTAGAATTCAAGGAGACATTGTTGTAATATTCAGTTCTAATTTATTCTCGATGGTGAGAAAAGTAGATTATAACAGACTTTTTATTAATCAAAGTTGTGGTGCAACGTTTGGCATAGAATGAATTCAAGAAGGCGAGCAGTTTTTGTTTTGTTTTTTCTTTATCAGTTTTTAGCGTCTCAAAAAAAAAATAAAAATAAAAATAAAAAAAACATCATGGAATATCGTTATCCATTGTCTGACTATCTGGAGGACTTGTGACCTAAGTTTAGACCAGAAACTCTGTACGTTTCCCTAAAGCTTGAGTACAGAAAAGATTTGACCATTTCAATGGAATAAAGCCACTTCTTTTCTAGCCTCCCCCGCAAACATTCTTAGGCGTGCGTCACGCGTTCCTTCCCTACGAACGTTCGTGGGGAAGGAACGCGTGACGCACGCCTAAGAATGTCTGCGGGAGAGGCTACTTCTTTTCTAGTCAGCTAAGTGGTCCGTTGTTTAGAGTTGTGTTATATGATTGATTTAAAGCAATTTTGTTAAACATGATACTTTTACAGTTAAAAAAAAAAAACGAGTAGAAGTGTATTTTTAAACCTGATAATACACGACTGCAAGTTTTTTTGAACGGCTTCAAAGTCTCTTGATAAAGATCAACTCATTCTTGCACTAATAAATAGATTTGGAGTTAGTTTGGTCTAAAAAATTGGACGTAAAGTTTAGCCGTGTCTTTATCAGATATAAAGACACCAGTTGAACATTCATTTCTTTTGTTTTTTTCTCTATGAATTATTAATGAGTTCTTTTTTCTGAAATCACGCAACCCCTTCCTCTTACGTTTAATGGCTGACTCCTTAAGTTAAGTATAGTATTAGTATAGTATAAGTTAGTTTTTTGAAATAAAATAATTTTATAAGTACATAAATAAGGCTTCGGTTTATTTAGGCCTGGCTATTAAAGTCTATATTCATACTCCCCACACTTATCATTGTGTACAACGTAAGCTGTAGTTCAATTTTATCCGTAGTTTAGATTTTATTTTCTGTTTTTTGTTATATTAATATATGATGAGAGCGCTGACCCATACCGGTTTCCACCGTTTTACGGAAATCGGTAAAATTTTTCATAATAAATATATAATTATTTAAGACAAAAAATTTCCTATTTGAAATCTGTCAAATGATGTAAAGTAAGCAGATGCAAACTCAATTTTAACATTTTTTCTTGTCAACTATATGACTCACTTACACGAGTCCTCAAATCCTTCGATGATACTATTTCACAATCTAATGTGAATCGCGCTAAACCGAATGAAAACTCTTCATCCACTTGGGCTGCTTTGCATATCCAGGGGGAGGGCTACTCTCCCATAAAAGTGACGGGGGTGCTCGTTGTACCTTTTAGGGGGTTGATTTTGTGGATTGGTACCGCTAAGGGTGCTAATACCTAAAATGACTGCTGATTTATGACAATACTTTCAAAAAGTCCTTAAGAAGAAAGTGTTCGAAAGTTATCTTGATTGCTATCAAAATTTGCAGTGCCTGTTATATAATTTGTTTCTGTTTAATTGGTACCTCTTAGGAGTGGAAATGAATTTAGAGCACGTTTAGTAAAACAAGATTCTGGTACATCTTGAGGGTGTTCTCGACATTTTCCGACGAGCACCACCGTCAGTTTTATAGGGGAGTACCCCCGGTTTGCATCTTTTTTTCTCAGTTTACAAAATGCCATCATCCCAAAAACCGAACGGAAATAATAGTATGATTTCAGTTGGTGACGATTTTAGTCCCCCGGGAATGCCGAAGGCATTCACTGTACTGGTTAATGACTAGTATGTTCACTGGGGTTCCAAACAACTGTGGGATCGTTTGTATGTAAAAACGTCATGTTGTAATACATGTATGTATACATGTATACTGTATGCTGCGGTGAGTAGTTTGTTTTGGGTTTTCGCCTTTGCTCCGAGAGGTTTTTCTCCGGTACTCGGGTATTCCACTCTCCTCAAAAGCCAACATTTTGAAATTCGGATTCGACCAGGAAACAGGCAGACGAAGAACCACCTATTAATATAAATGAGCTACCTCTAAATATTTACTTATTTACATGGTTCGGACAATCTTGAAAAGGTCATGAATTTTACCAGTCGTCTTGAAAAGTCCTTGAATTCGGTTTAGGCCCTTGAATAATACTTGACTTCTTTATTAGGTCTTGAAAAGTCCTTGAAATTCACAACCTTGTCTACGCCAGGCTTTTTTTTCCCTTTAAAATTAGATTATTTTACCGACGCAAAATTTGGCTTATCCTCGGTGTTAAAGAACCTGTGAAACTCACGGGTAGCGCAAAAACATTTTTGTGTATGAACAATATTTTATTTCTGTTCTTTATTTTGAATTCTATTTGTACCTCAAATGCAATTGCAAGTCATACCAAGTCCTTTTGCAAAGTCTTGTTGCGGATAGTAGTATAAAATACTGAACGTGATCAACGATGGCCGAAGAAGTAAAAATCGTAAATGACTCCATGACGTGTTTTAGCCAATAGGCGTGAGGCAAAGGGGGTTAAAGAATTCCGATTTATTAAATAAATCTTACTCCTTGAAAACTGTAATTTGTCCTTGAAAAATCCTTGAAATTTGTTTATCTGAAATTGTGTGAACCATGTTAATTTTATTTAAAAACAAAAGAAAATCTTTTCGTAGATCGAGGTAAGCAGATTTTGTTGAAGTTGGAAATATGTGAAAGATTAGAAAAACAATTACTGGATTCGGCTTTGGAATAATGTGGAGAATTAGGATTATCTCGAACGATGTTATCCGCCTTCTCGATCTGCACACAGGGTCCAGAGGAGTTTCGTGTGAATAAATGAATTACTTATTTAAAGTCTTACCTTGAAAAATGTCTATACCTACATTTCCATTGGTGCTGTGAGGGGATTTTTTTTACAAAATATCAAAAATTTTTCTTATCCGATATTTTTTACCCTAACAACCTCCATGTTTAAATATATTCAGTGAATCCACCCCTTACAGAGGTGAAACAAGACGTCGCTCCCTTTTTTTTAATATAAGTTGTATTTTGGGAACGTGAACTAAATGCGATTTTCGTTTCTACTATAGCTGCATTTTTGCCACAGGTGGAGGGTGATTATTCAATCTTTGCCCTTAGCACTAGTAAAATATATGGAAAAGAACCTCGGCATAACGAAACCTCGTTATAGAGAACATATTTTGCCACATCCTTGTCCCTTCGTAATATCGCGGTTCCACAGTAACAAGACGAACACGGCTTGTCGTTTCAGTCAGCCTTCTCGAACAATGCTCACTTCAATGTACTTGATGCCCACTTTTTCGCTGCTGTCATCAGCGTATATTTCCAGAAATAGGCCGTTTTGAGGATTAAGCTTGCGTTGGAAAATCATCTCTCTGCTGAAGCCGCCATCGTGGAAAGTAAAACAGGTTCCCCACCGGTCAGACAGGCTTAGCTTGGTCTCAACCCTTCCCGGGTAGTAAGACTCGGCGGGCTTTGGCAAAGGCGAACCATAACGACGATCACTACCAAAAATGTTGCCGCTGCTTGCTTCCATAAGAAGACAAGGTGTCGAAGTTTTGTAATTGTTTTTGTCGCGTATTTGAACACCAACAAAAAACTGACCGTCGGAAATCACGTACGAGGGATCGCTTTCTCCCTGACCGATGTCAATGTCAGTCCCGATGACCATTTTTATAACAAGGTTTGCATCGGCGCTTAGCGTTTCTGCTGGAATAAGTGGCACTTGTATGAGGCGAGCGAAATGCACTGGTGCTCTCAGGAAGGTCAGTTTGGTGGCGGTCACGGTATGTTGATGGTAGATAAAGCTTGCTGATCTCACTAACTTCATGGGTGTAAACAGCTGGTAGTAAGGGATTTTCTCCTGGACCAAAAAGTATAAGTTTTAGTACAAATTGTAATTACAGTGCTGTGGAACCTCTATGTACGACCACCTCTCGTAAGCGACCACCTATCCAAAACACCAAAATTTCCCAGTCAAAGCCTTATAGTTGGAAACTCTCGTAAACGATCACCTCTCGCAAGCGAAGTGACCGTGATCACTTTTTAGTATGGCGGTTTTAGAATTTTCCATTGTTTTTAATCTCTTCTTAGCGACATTCTGATACAATGGTCTGATCTTAGTAGTCTGTGTTCGCTGTATTCAGTACGCTAGACTCAGAATATGTGAAGAACGTATGGGAACAACATGAATTTACATACATTGTAACCTAACAATTGCATACAATACATGTACATTCCCCCCGAAAAGTAGCTGTGTCCGGACTTCTTTTCGTAAAGGGCCTATGCAGTTCGATTCTTGTAAAATAAGCGACCGCCTCCCGTATTAAAGCGACCACTAACTCTTCGCATTTTGGGTGGATTACACCCTTTTTTATAAGAATTTTGTTTTATCCGGCCCAGACTGAATATTTTTATTTGTCTGCCGATTATAGGCTGAAACTATTCCTGTATTATTCTTAAATTATAGCTAATGACATTTTCGTTTTAGAACTACAGTGAAACCTCTATTTTAAAAGCGGGCACATTCGGAACTTTCCCAAGTGTCCGCTTAATAGAGCTAGGTTGAAAAAATTGCGCAATGTTTGTTAACGATCAACAGTCAACGGTTACTCTGTACTGTGATAAAGTTGCATGTTGTTAAAGAAGCTATCCAGAGTTCGAGTCCATTACCTTTCATTACTAACTTTAATTTGTTTGTAAATGGAAAAAACATTAACTGACTTCAATACGTATTTCAGGGTCGTAACGAAGTATATTTTCTCCCGCCTGATCCCACATTTCGACCTTAAATTTTGCTCCTTGATCCCAAAATTGCTGCAAATCTTGATCCCTGACCCCATGAAAATTTTTTGATCCCTGGATTCAATCTGGGTTGGATTAGCTGCATATCATATAAAAACGACAGAAAACTAGACGCCTGTAGTCGTGCATCACCATCTAACTATCCTTGTAGACTACTCATAGTGTGCGTAGCTTCAGGGGCGTAGCCTGAGATCTTGAAGGTGTACGATGCGGTGATAAAGATTTGCAGCACCGAAGGCGGCCCAGCCTAGGGGAGTCAGGGGGCATGCTCCCCCAGAAAATTTTCAAATTTAGGGTCTCGGAAATGCTATTTCCAGCATTTTTTGCAGTGATTTGATACGCAGGAAAGTGCAGTTAGTTAGTTATTGTTTACTTTACCCATCTCTAGAGCTGTCGGTAAGGTACATTCTTTATGAAAAAAAGGCGAGTGACACCCTTAGGATTGTGGAATAATAAATGGATAACTGAGTAATCACTAACACAAAGTCACCAATATAGTGCGAACGAGGTATCAGTCATCTTGATTTTCAAGCAATAAAAATGCTTTTTCAGGAAATAATTTTTTTTATTTTCTTATCTTAGCTGTACGGGCGTGTGTGCGTATATAGGCGCCACGCTGCTCAGTAACTCCTGCTCCAGAAAAATGAGATCCAAATGAGATCTCTTTGGGCAAAGATTGGCTTGACCAGCGATCAAAGTAGCTACAGAATTCTACAAGACCAGGATGATAAGAGAATCCCCATCGCAATAGCCTGCGCCACGCAGGCTACCATCGCAACAGGCGTATGAGCAACAACGGCTTACGATGCTAGTATAAAATTGAAAAGGTGTAGCGACAAGAAATTTAAAAGGAATCTGGCTTCACAATTTTGCATCAATTTATTTCCAGATTTATGCGGATTTTGTTTCCTGGATTTTGGACGATTCAGCTAGATCGGATTGCATACAGTTTAGTACCGGATCCAAATGTTAAAGCAAAATTACAACTGAATTTTAGAACGTTGGCAGGTCCCTCCAATTAAGGCGCATTTCAGCATTTGTGGTCTTGGTTGTTATATCCGAGAGAGGAGCCGGATCCCTGATCCCCTTACAGTACTACTGATCCCGATCCCACGGCTTGTGATCCCAGATCCCGGCGCTGTGATCCCTGATCCTATATACCTCGTTACGACCCTGGTATTTCAAGAACGTAATCCAATACTACCATTGTCAATTCAGTCCGATGTCCGCTTAATAGAGATTTTTAGCAATAGAAAATAGCCAAATACAACTTATTTTAGTGTCCGCGTCCGCTTAATAGAGGTGTCCGCAGAATAGGGGTTCGTTATAAAGGGAAATATCAGACGTTCGTTTCGGGACCAGGCTTTGTGTCTGCTTAACAGAGCGTGCCGCTTAACTGGGGATCCGCTTAATAGAGGTTTCACTGTACCTTATTCTCCTTTATTTTCGCGGGACTTTAATTTCGCGAAAATTTTCGGGGTACATTTCGTGAGTCTTTAATTTCGCGATCGCGGAGAAAAATTGTGTTTGCAGGGAATTTAATTTCGCGAAATTGACGATTAAGTGACTTTATGTTTTCTTTTTTACAAAAATTGTACGTTACTCAACAATTGAAACAAAACCAATATGCTGTCCCTTAGCGGCAGCTGTATTCCTCTAGAAGTCAGTCTTACAGTAATAAAAAAAGTCTTCTTGTTCTTCCGAGTCATTATCGAGTATTGAGAGTATCTTTACATGTCCTTTCTAGGAGATCTCAATAGAACCTTCAATCTCTTCAAATGGATCCTCAGGGGGAAGACTAAACGATTCATCTAATAGTTGGGCGATGCCAGCCTTTTCCCACTCTTTAGCGATGTGGCGCCTACCAATGTCACTGCTGAGATGGTTGTACAGCCCTTCGTGGATTCCATGTTTACAAAGAAATTTGGAAGCCCATCGTCGGGCAGCTTTTGAGATGTTCTCACGAACGAAACAATCTACGATCGTTACGCAATTGCAGCTAACAAACGGCTCCGTGGTCGCCTGGCCGATTCAATTATAGGCCATTTGCCCAGAGAGATTTCTAGAGCTACTCGCTTTTTCTTATTGAGAGGTGGGGTGGTTCATCTTCAAAGTTACTGATGAAAACTATCGTCGATCCCCATTGATTCAGGGAGGTCTGGAAATTCCTGTTGAGGGGATATGTGAAAAGGACGATACACCAAGGAACAGGGCAATAATGGAAAGATACAAGACACTCGTAACTACACACCACAAGGAGCCGGTACAGGATGGTCAATTTGACGACTGTATAAAGGACGTATTGGAGGAACTGTGTGAAGATGATTACTCAGATGCCGAAGAAGAACTTGAGGCGAATCTTGACACTGATTAAAATCTAAAGTTGATGGGTGATAGCTCCTTGTACTAACACCTTCTGTTGAAAATTGCTTAGGACCCTTGAAAACACAAATACAAGATTTTGCTATGTCCATTAAATTTCGCCAGATCAAAGTTCGCGGTCGTTATTTTTCGCAGGTCTTTAAGTTCGCGAATTTTTTAAAATCGCGAAAATAGCGAATTTAAGAACCCGCGAAAATTAAGGAGAATAAGGTATATATTGGGGTATCAGTTATAGTTAGTTCAGGACTTTTGGTCTTGTTTGCAAGTTTTATCGTCTAGAGAATGGAATAAGTTGAAAACATACAATTCTATTGTATTTACAGTTTTTGAACACACAAAATTATATCCTTTTCAAAACCTCAGCCTGGGGTTTATTCTTAAAATATTCTTAAAATTTCTCAAATTTCAGCCTCGATATTCATTATATAAAATATATTCTTATAGTAAAAAAAGATTGTATAAAATATGCGCTGCCGAATAGAACGTCGTTGCGTTACGCCTCGTTAACTGCGTTGAACAATTCTGTTATTAAAACTGTTTCTTTACTCGTATTAAAACCGTCCTCCTCGCAGTGGAAATTTTTGCGTCGGCAAGTTTCAGCTGACTGTCCTTGTTTCACGGCGTAATGATTCCTCGTTTTGTGGCGCCTTTATGTTTCATTTAAGGTGTAAACGTGTGTCAGGGAAATTGGATATATTTTACGTGTGTTGCGTGGGCTTTTTCCGCAGTGTGATCATGTGAAGATCTTGGCCTTTGGTTGTAAGTGGCGAAACATGCGATTTGACATGCAGACAAACAGGTATTTCTTGGTTCCTATTAACTGTACATGTATAAACGAAAATTTAAGGGCTGTTTTCGGGAGTTTTAAATTTCGCAATTTTTGAGAGAAATATTGTATTCAATAGTTTTCGAAAAAACATTTAAAGGGCTGATGGAGTATAACATGTTTCTAACTCATGGTTACGTTGGGTAGGGTGAGTATGCTGAAAAGTGCGGCGAAGAAAGGTAATGTTCTTACCTAAAACTAACCTCATCAAGTCTGCAATTCACAGCATCTCCGAAATTTTCATTGTTTTATATAATATCTCGATAATTTTCGCGAGATATGATAACTTATTATAACTACAAGTAGATAAGAGCCTTATGAAGAACTATCCTTCGAGGATTTTGTTAAGTAGACCATAAAGGAATGGTAGAACATTTACAATTATCCAGTTTGTGAAGTACCAGAAGTACATATTTTATCACAAAAACTGAAGATTTGACTAGGCATTTTATTACTATATAGTTTCGTACTACACGATGGTGTAGCAGTCTTCAGATAAAATAGCCAGATTGTGAAGTATAGAATTAGAATTTTCTTACCTTGGTTTCTGCTGAAGAATGCTGCACTGATAACAGTGCAGCTAAGAAGATCAACACTAACATTATGGCGAATCGTCCCGGAGTGCGGTAGAGCAGAAATAAAGGGGAAAATTGAATATGAAATATACTTATAATTACGAAAGTGACAACGTCTCAATTTGCAACTTCTAATCGGATAACTTTTACATGATCATGATTGACAGCTGAATGCAACCTCGTTCCCTCCCAAAGGCCGCTTTACCAATGTTCCCGTTGCCTTTCCGCTGGGGTAGAGTAACGCGACCTCTGGGAACGCGATTGAGCACCCATGTGCACTAGAGTGCAGTGACTTCAGATCAGTTTTAGATGTCGAGCATCATGCACCTCCAGCCTCGTATCACGAAATTGATCATGTTCGCTTTATGATACCAGTTAATTGTAAAAGGTGTGGAATTCGGTTTATTATGAACGTCTCCATCGTTCTGGTGTGCGAGGAAACCGTAAACGCAAGCTTCTGTTTGCGTTTTGACTGTTGACAGTCTCTTACTTTCCAGAAGTAGACCGGGCGCTTGCGTAACGGGTGTTCATCTTGATTTTAAGTGTACCAGGGGGGTGTGCTAAGGGTTGTATAGTATCGGGGTGAATGGTCACCGTCTGATTTCGCCACGCTATACGCCCCAAAGGCCACCACCCCCCCCCCCCCCCCCCCCGGCCCTTCCCAAACAAAAAAACCCCCCCTTTTTTTTAGGGGGGGGGTTTTTAGTTGGGGGTTGGGCCCCGTTGGTAAATTTTTTTTTCGGTGTGGTGGTTTTTGCTGGCCATCCACAAAAGCCGCTTTGGGCGCCCCCCTCACACACTTTTTTATTATCTTTTCTTTTTCCCTATCCGCCCAAAGGCCCCCCACCCCCCCCCCCCCCCCTTCTCGGTACATTCGAAACCAAAATGGCCTCCTGTTTTGAATAGGGGACTGTTTTAAGTGGGTAGCTTGGCCTTGTTCGTAAATATTTTTAGCAGTGATGAGTCTTGACTGACGTCACACAAAATGGCCTTTGCGAGCGCTCCCTAAACGTCTTTTGTTAATCCTTTCTATTTTGCGTCAACCAGAATAATCGTATCTTCTGGGCTCAAACCTTTTTTTTATAACGACAGATACTAAGTGGTCAGTTGGCTTTTTATTTATTATGAAGATTTGACCGCCAATTTTTACGCGTTGTTAGCGGACGCGCCCTCGCGTGAATTTGTGCGCACCCTTTTCTCGTCTCGTTTGCAAAATGACTGGGTATGACTTGCAATTAAATCTGAGGTACAGAAATAGAATTGGAAATAAAGAACAGAAATAAAATATTGTACATGAAACGAGACGAGGAAACTGATCGTCAAACCAAGTCTCATGAGCTGGCGTTGGCTTCGTTACAATGACGTAAAACAACCGCTGGCTCTGACAGATATAGACAGACTCAAAAGTACCCAGGAACCACGGTCAGTTACAGACAGAAAGTACTGGGCACTTCAGATGGAGTTTACATTGCCCACCTATGGCCTTACGTGAAGTTCTTAGATGTGACACATGATCGGGTTACCAAGCTTCTGTCAACTAAGAGTAAGGCCTGGTCACCAATAACTTGTTGCTGTTTTGTAGTGTTTCTTATAATCAAGAAGATACTGTTGCAATATTCAATTCTAATTTATTCTCGATGGTGAGAAAAGTAGATTATGACAGACTTTTCATAAATCATAATTGTGCTGCAATGTTGTGATTAAGTATTTGGCAAGAAATGGATACAAGACAGTGACCGTCTTTTTCCCTTTATCGGGAGTTTTTAGCTTCTCAGAAAAAAAAGGATAAAAAACATACGTCTTGGAATATCGTTGTCCTTTGCCTAACTGTCTGTTTGCGTCATCGTAACCGGAAGTGTTGTTTTTTTCTTTTTTGTTTGATTCACGTTTTTTGAAAGCTGTTTCGAAAGTTTTGTTTTTAATCTTCACACTTTTTCACAACTAAGGTCGACCATATCACAAAATCCTATATCGTTTGAAGAATTACAAGCGTTTCCCAGCGCGTGGTCGAAAATCCCAAAGGCAAAATAATATCTTTGTTAATAATTAGGACTACAGCCAAATTACTTATTTAAAGTAGGCATTCAACATGCTGCGGGACACATCATCTTAATATACTTAAGGAGAGTTGTTTGTTTCATGGCTATATTTCAGCATACGAATGAAATGCACCCATTCAACAACACAAAATCTTATTTTGTCTTGTTTTCAATCTGTAGAGATTTTGTACGTGAAATTTTTTTATTACTGTGAAAAGAAATGTGGATTCTAAGAACTAGTAAAAATATAACAGAATGCTGATTAAAAAGTTGATTTCATCAAGCTGTGCTATTTTCCTTTTCAAAACTGGTTAATATTCTGGTATTTCGAAAAGTTGATAATTTTACGTCATGTCACTATGTGTTATTTTGGTGAAAAAATGATTAATGAATAATGATAATAAAATACTCTGATCCCCAATTTAAGCTAGCGTAGCAACTCTTCTAGCATTTAAGAATGCTGTACGTCAATCGTGGACCAAGATCTATGACCGTCTGTTTCTTAGGATCTCAATTGCGAACAGGTTAACCTTTATTGAGAAAAGGGATCAATTTAGGTTTCCGGGAAACTGCCCACCTACTCCTCGCCTAAGTCATCATTTTGCCGTAAGTGAGAAGTAAGTGTTAATGTTAGCTTAGGGGAGGGGTAGGTGGGCAGTTTCCCAGAATCCTAAATTGTTCCGAGAAAAGACCTGAACTGAATACAACGCCGCCGGTATGAGTAAAAACTGACTGAGCAACACGAGAGAGCGTTATCTCTCCAAAAAAACAACCCTGGGCCCAGTTGAATTGTTCCAAGGCCGGTTAGCGCTAACCCAGGGTTAGATTTTAACCAGGGTTTCTTTTTCTTTTTATTAAAAGCGTTTTCTCGGACAATTTTCTTCATTCTTTTTAGAGTATCCGATCACCAAATTGCAGACGAAAAGAATTCAACCGAATTTGCTTTTTAAGCTTTCATATCTGAATTCAAATTTCGCACTTATATTACCCTTGGTTATCTTAACCCAGCTTTAAGACCTTTTAGGCTTAAGATAAACCTGAGGCAAGGTTTGAACTCTTCAAATAATACTCAGACCGTCGATAACAAATCTTTCAGTTAAAGAAGTGGTTAAAAGTCGAAAGAATCATGCTAAAAGTTAAGGGCGAAAGGAAATTCGACAGTGGAAAATTATAGGGCAATCTCCGTTTTATTTGTGGTGTCAAAGTTTTCAAAAGCGCTTCGTAAGAAGACAGATTTAATGTAAGGTTGTCGACGAATGAAATAGGCAATAAAAGACTAACTAATTACAACTCCCTACCTATCTGGACTTGGCTCCAGAAAATATAGATGACGATTCTGAACTTAAAATTCTAGTTGCTATCAAACATTGTCAACAAATTAATTGTACTTGCTATCTGCAAGCTGTCTAAACCTTGCACCTATATTCTCAGTCAAACAATTACGCTTACATAATAAACGTTTCAATCCAGGACTTAAAACTGATGATGCAATTAAAATCTTGCATCAACTACAAGGCTACAGCTGTTTTCTGACCATAATTTAATAAGATCCATCTTGGAAAAAAAAATTCATCAGCTCAGTCTATTTTGGCGGTTAGCGCAATATCTCATTTTAATCTTAATCTGGGCATAGGAAAGATCATTCAACTAGACCTGCCAAAAGACCAATTTGTTTGATATATCAGTTGAAATTCATACTTGGCAACGATGTTTGGAGAAATAAAACAAAAGAAATTTTTTTGGTCATTCCTAAACCTCGAGGCAATTTTCTTCCATTTTATTCCCCCAAGTCTCGGAGAGTAGTGTAAATTTTTACATCTTGAAGTTCGTATATTTTCTAGAAATAACTGGCGTTCTGTTTAAAACTGCAATCTATAACAATCACTTTAAGTTTTCCAAAATCTTCGCTATACTCTTAATTTTGAGATATTAGAGAGATTTAAACGGGTTTATGGCAAACGGCAAACGTCAGATTCAAAATTAAGATAATTCTAATGGATAAAACTGACATGATTTTATTTCGTAGGAGTAATGACCAGCAAGCGACGTGCAAAGGGAAGACTTGGTCACGTGGTAGAAACTGGTGTTTGCCATTTGCCGTAGTCGGGATGCTAAGTCTCTGTGTTGCAAGGGAACTCATACACAATACGTGTAATTACTTCCTGAGATCGGTTTAAAAGCCATCTTTCAAGCAGGACCCAATTCAATACGTTGAAGACTGAAACAAGGTAGAATATATCCTTCTTGAAACTGTTTGTGAGGTACTTCAGGAATGCTCACTTGGTCCACTCTTCTATTTATTTTTAAGACAAGTGCCCTTCTAAAATCTTTCGATAAACATTCTCTCGAACTCTCTGCTGATGATGCTGATTCAGTTTATTCTATTTTTAATTCTATCATAATTTAGTTTACCATTGTTTATGTTTGAACCCAGAGACGATCTCAGGCAAACGTCCAATTTAGACCACAGGGAAGATTTTTAGCCCAAGGCATTCACCTTGCTGCTTACTGCTTGCTTTTGTTTGCTACATAACTCTACTTAGTGAAAGAAAGAAGCTTATTTTGTCATGTCCTCAATTACACTGTATACATCTTTCTACTCAAAGTCATCAATAACTGTGTAGCGTGGATTCTTAGATGAAATTGCAAAACTGTCGTGAACAGATGAAGAACAACAGCTTTTCTAGACAATCATATTAATTTACGGAAAAGGGGATTCTCATTAGCAGCCCACGCTTGCATCACGTTCATGTTGTTTTAACATGCAAAAACCTGTATTCCTAACCCTTGCTAGCAACTCCACTAGCACTCAGAAATGTATTGATTAGGCATATATTCCACAGCCCTTGCCTTCGGATCTCAAACGCAGACACTACCTTTGGGAAAGACAAGAGAGAAAATCACCGGTAAGTACAACCTGATTTGTCAAAACTAAGTACTGATCTAGAGCTTTAACTCTCTAAGAAAGTTGGCAGTTCTTATTAACGT